CTGGAGTTGTGTGTGTGTGTGTGGGGGTAGTTGAAGAATGCTGGTTGAAGCACAAACACAGACATTCTCTTTGAAGAGCGAGTGTTTCTCGTGTCGTAAAGCGCTCGGGTCAACTCCAGCTGCTGGGCTCGTTGACACTGAAAAACAAATTGGCGTCGAAACCGTTTTCAAGTTAATGTTGTTATAACTCCTGTGTAAAGCGTTTTAAAGCCACTCCTCACGGGTTTCACTTGGACTGATGGTTAAATGGTTTCGTTTATTCTCTGAAAGGCGAGGAGACGCGTGAGATTACAGGAGAAACAGGTGAGCATTTTCATTTCTTTGCTGTCAAGGACGAACTGAAGTGCGTCTACTGTTTTTCTAGTTCTGCTTCTGGTCGTAAATGTAAAAGAGTTTGATTGTGTCGAGAGCTGTGAGTAAAGTCGAGTGTTTTATGAGAATGCCAGGTCTTTTTAAGGAGTGCTGGGTATGTTGGTTGGATCAACCTCTTTTTTTTACTGGTTAGTCTGGTTTTTCAAGGCTGAAGTTTGTTTTTTCTTGATGTCTTGACAGCTGAAGTCTCATAAAATGTATGTAAATGTTTATTTCAGGCGAGGGAACCAAAATCTTCTCATTTTTAAAATACGGGAATGTTATTTACATTACTGTTTATTCATTTACCAATAGCTTTTACACATAAACAAGGAATGTGTTAATATGAATATAATCATCTGGCCTATCAATGCCCAGTCATTTAGGGGGTTCATTAATTCGGTTGTTCTTATTTGAAACTCGATCAGATTATTAATATGAAATGAATTAATGAAACTAAGACTGTAAAACTGCTAGTTCAGACTGTCATTTCTGATTGGATAAGATGCGTTGTTGTAAAATACAGATAAACACACTCCTGGGACTCGTTGCAACCTTAGCTAACAAACATATAACGTTCCCATTAAGTTATGAACATTTTTTTTCTGAAAAGTAAAAAAAGAAGATTAAATTAAAGCTGCAAGCAGCGATGGGCGGGCCCTCGCACCTGTAGCACGTCGGGGTCTGAGGCGGCCGCGTTTCATTTTCTGAAGCTCAGCCAGTGCGGCTGTGCATTTGCCACACTGCTTCGTTAAAGGCCACTTCCTGTTGCCAGCAGGTGGCGCTATGACTGTGGGTGAATTTCGGCATGTAGATTTGTTCAGGGCGGGACTCTTGTCAAATGTGTTAAATTTCGTGCAGATCTGGGCATTTACAGCCAAGTTACTACAACTTCCTGTTTCATGGCGAATCATCGACGCCACGGACACGCCCATCGACGAAAACGCGCAGATAGCACAACTTTACATTGTCAATGCCTTTAGAAGGCACAGCAGAAATTTGAAGTCGATCCGACAAAATCCCTAGGAGGAGTTCGTAAAAGTACGGAGTGTGTAAATCGTCCCAAAATGGGCGCCAAATTCAAAATGGCCGACTTCCTGTTGCGTTTAGGGTATGGGTTCTTGAGGCTTTTTTGTGCGTCGTGATATGATGCACGTCCCCACCAAATTTCGTGTTTGTAGGTTGAACGTGGACGAGGGGCTAATTTTTTCCAATTTTCTAGGTGGCGCTAGGGAGTCATTTTGCCACGCCCATCCGCGAAACCCACAAAATACGAAATTTTTCACCAGTCCTGACATGCGTGCCAAATTTGGTGAGTTTTTGAGCATGTTGAGGCCCCCGAAAATGGCGCTTACTTAAAAAAAAATAACCCTAACAGTTTCAAGAGGGTCCTCGCACTGTTAGTGCTCGGGCCCTAAAAAACCTTTTCTTTGAAAATTTTGGCATTGATAGATATTTTATTTTTGATTCTAAATTGTTTCAATTATTTACTGTATTTTATTTTTATTATTATGATTTTTTTTTATTCTAAACTGTTTTAATTATTCTGACTTTGAATTGCCGCTGCGTATGAAATGTGCTATATAAATAAACTTGCCTTGCCTGCCTTTTCTTAAAGAACATTTCAATGTATCGTTGTTCATACTTTATCGAAAGTTACTATTAAATGTTCTATAAATGTTCGGAAACAAGTAGTAACAAACATTTTTTTATGCGAAAGTGCAACTACAACGTTTCAGAAAAAACGTCCCATAAACGATGTGTAAGTAACTTTTTGTTAATAAAGGCCAGATAACTTTGAACAAACTTCGATTAACGTTACGGGACCATAAACAATCATAGTTGGATTAAGGAAAGTATATTACATTGCAGAAGTGTTTATTCCGATTTTTTGCTGTTGCCAGTGTTTTATAAAAGCAGTAAGCCACTGTCTATACGCATGAGGAACACAGTAAAAGCGGTTAAACGCACCACATCTGTGTGCAAGAGAAGCTTCCCAGTCCTGTGGGCCAGTTTCCATGAGTCTCTCAGGCCACATTTATGAATATATCAATGAGGGCTTTGTGTTGGTGGGATTGTTGGTAATTGGGTTCAAGAATGGTTTTGGCGTATGCGCTTGTCTTATGCAATGCTCTCCGACTCAATGGAAATGGTTTTCAGAACGGATTGTGCCTAACATGGGCTGGAAATAGCTGACCTGAGGCCAGTGAGTGTTGTGCGCTCATAACAGGTGTGTGTTAAAACGGCACTAAACGCGTCTGATTCCAGAGCTCATGCGTCATGGAGCGGATCAGACGCACAGATACACGAGTCCTCAACCCAAACATTGAACAAACACACCCTTTATGTGGACCTGGAGCAAAACACCACAGCAACTCTCAACAGGGAATATACATCCTGAAGCGGGCCACGGTGACGTGTGCGATCGATCGCGGTGATAAAACATCTAAAACTGTAGGTTCAACAGGCCAGTTTGTGTACTGCGGTTTGTAGTAGTCTTATCAATATCCACTATCATGTCCATATAAATGCAAAGTGGCCCAAATGCATGGGTTTATTTGGGCTTTTTGGAAGATGTTTTGCATGTTTTTGGTCTGTCCAGTTTTTATCAGGATAAACTTATAAAATAAGTTTGTATGATGAACCCAATTCGTATCGAATACTCTTAAAGTATCTTGTATATACAATTGAGTTCAAATGCATCATTTTTAATCTCTTTTCCTAATTGATGTTTGTTGAATCAGTCTGTGAAGCTAATATGGCAATACATTTAAATCCAACCAAACCAGGAACACCAGGATGGATTTATCTCAAGTTCAGGGATTAAATCAATAATAGGCCTGCATTTGTCTCTGAATGTTGTTATTTTGACTTGTTTAGCAGGATCAGTTCATGGTCACATGTCTTAAACTAAGAAGTTTCGGAACATTTCTGATTTAAAAAGTCATAATTAAGTCATGTAGACTCTAGAGCCAGACCGATATATCGGCAGACCGATATTAGGCATTTTCCAAACTATCGGTATCGGCAGTTATAATGGCCGATAAATGAATATTTCAAAAATAAAATAAAAACGGACGAAACACGCTTGAACCATGTCTTGAGTGTTGGAGTTGTATAGTTTGTCCACCAGAGGGCACTCTACACCGTTCCTGTTGGCAACACTCGTTGAGTTGGTCACGAGACATACATTGCTTGAATAACAATTAAATCTCTCCTTGGCCTGTTATATTGAAAATGTATGTTTTACAATTTGCAGTATGACGTTATCCATTGCTAAATTATGGCTCATCATAGACTAGCTAACCACAAAGCTAGCTAATCCCACTGTGACAATAAAAGAAACAAGTTTCTTATTAAAATGCATTATCATATTATTTTTTGTTAAAACTCATAAATAACTACAAATAACTAATGTTAGGGAAATCTGTTAATGTTTTGTTGTGCGTTTCTTAAAAAAAATAAAAATATCGGCCGATATATCGGAATATCGGATTTTAAAACCAACAAATATTTGTATCGGTATCGGCCTTCAAAATCCTTTATTGGTCTGGCTCTAGTAGACTCTGGGAATGATGTGTAGAGCTTCTTCCCGGTTAACGGGGAACATTCTGGCAATCTCTCTCAAAGTCATCCAGTAACTTTAATAAAACGTTCGTTCAAAGGTATCTGGTCTTTAATAATGTTCTCGAAACGATTGCGTTGTTTTTTTTTAAACGTTTTAATTGGATGTTTGTTTTACGTTTTTTAAATGTTACCGCTAGTTTTTGAACGTTCAGAGTACTTTAAATAGTAACGTTCCCATTATGTTTGAAGGAATGATAAAATAGAGCGTTCACATGACCAACAGAACATGTTTAGAGAGCAGTTTCCTGAGTTTGTCTTACCACAGAAAAATGTGTAATTAGCCACCCAGCCAAATTTGAATGATAAAAAAGCCGCCAAGTAAATAAAATAAGCTATCAGATATGTGCACATTAAACCATGACTGCCTACTGAAAATTGTGGCTTGCTAGCAGATTGTCTTGTGTCAAACTTGGTTATTTTTCTTTTTTTTCTTTTTTTTTGCCTATATTGTGTGCTGATGTTGATTCGTTGCTTATTGTTGTGTGTCGTATTTGTCTTTTTATTACTTTTAATGTTGTTATTATTTGTGGACTGTAAAAGTCATTTCTTGCTTTATATTTTGTTTTTAGGTTGCCATCATAATAACTGGCCAGGGACAACAGATGCAAATTAGCCTGTTGAGCTATCTCCGGCTCATTTACAGTTATTTTACTGTCAATTAATGAGCACTGTCCCTGTAAAATAAACAAATAAATGAAATGAAATGAAATGAAAAAAAATCAAAATCTTGAAAAAATGAGCATTATTCTCTGCTCTCAAACGTGGGGGGGCGTGTCCACTGGCTGCGTTGAAACCACGCCCACTCGCGGGACAGCTGCCGTACTGTGGTTATACCACCGTTTTAGCCCCGCCCAAAATCCCTGACCACAGCGATGATGAAACCCTGTTTAACAGTCTAACTCCACAATACTTCACAGTTCACATTGTAATGTGGTTTTTGTTTTAGTTTCAATAACTTAACTTAATGGGAACATTAGCTCATAGATTCCAGGTCTAACCAAACTTCCCGGTTGTGTCTCCAGCTCTTTTCCCGGAGACGACTCGTCCCTCACGGCTGTAGACATGGACCGCATGGAGCTGAAGAACGTGAACACTGAGGCGGACGACGAGAGCAGTGTGGACGATCGAGACATGGAGCCCATCGATTCAGAGAAAGCCACTATCAACAGGTGTGTGTGTGTGTGTGTGTTTGATGTCCAGATGTAAAGGTTGTGACACACTCTGATGGGAAATGATGACTATGTGCACTGCTGTAATGGTATAGAAATACTACAGTTCAACTTTAAAACGGATGTCTATTTTTATTGATATTTGTATTCCATTTTATTCATTTCTTGTACATGTTGGACTGATTCTGAAATCAGATCCTATATAATGTGTGTGTGTGTTGCCGATTACAGCCAGTTTCTGGACGAAGAGGACGCAGAGAGTCAGAAGTTCCTCACCAACGGGATGATGAAGAAGAAGAAATATGAGGAAGAATATGTAATATTGTAGTTCAGAAACACATTAGCATATTGACTGTGTCTCTGGAGCTGATGATTAACCCTCTTCTTCCTCCGCTTCGCAGCACCCGGGTCACGCGTCGTTTGGGATGTCCGTCTTTAACCTCAGTAACGCCATCATGGGCAGTGGAATTCTGGGACTGTCCTTCGCCATGGCCAACACCGGCATCGTACTGTTCATGTGAGTGTGTCTTCTGAAAAGTGGGAGGGACGTGTAATCAGCGTTGCTCATGAATATTAAACAATGATAATAATAAATTGGGTCTTGAATATTAATTAGGTGATGGAACTTTCAACCAATAAAATGTAGATGTTATAAAGTAGGCGCTAGATATATATATGAATATATATATGTGTATATATAAGAATATATATATGTGTGTGTGTGTGTGTGTGATGGAAATACCCACCCAAATATGTATATGCAGCTGGAAATACTGGATGCATCTAAAATTATATATATATAGTGTGTGTGTGTGTGTGTGTATTCGTTATATACAACAAAACAATATTATATAAAACAACAACTAAAAGTGTGGTTTAAATATATATATATATATATATATATATATATATATATATATATATATTAGAATGTAGAATATACAGTATATATATATATATATATATATATATATATATAATATTATACATTCTAAAAAATGCTGGGTTTTTTAACCCAATTTTGGGAAAAATATGGACAAACCCAGCCATTGGGTTAATTGGGTTAGAGTTAGGGCTGTGCCATATCATACCGTCCACGATAATACCGGTATAAAATTTTATATGATAAAAAAGTGTCATATCGCGATATTGATGATATGATGACGTATGGCGTATTTACGTTACTTAGCGCGTGCACAACAACACAGCAGCATGTCAGCCTCCGGATCAGATCAAGATTTAGTTCCTAAAAAGGGCGCTACTTCAATAGTATGGAAGTTGTTTGAGTACAAGAGGTCAGATCTCCAACAACACAATTATTATTTTTTTTTTTTTTTGTCAAATATGCATGAAAACTCGTTTCACCACTTCCCTACTAGCGTACATTTTGCATTCGCCTAATCTTCCTTCAGAGTTTCCGCAGTTCGGGTACAACAGTCAACACGATTAAACTCTTTCTAAGATGATTCAATGTTACTATTTGTAATATTTGTAAATAAAAGTTCTATGCTTTCGCATAAAACAACTTTATCTTGCTGGACTTTATTTCTGTAACGTTAACTAAATCATCATGTTACTTTCTACCGGCCGGGTGTCTGTTAGAGCAAAACACTAGAGTCAGAGCACTATTGTTCATCACGCGCACAGTAACTGAAATGTAAAACTGTTAAAAGAAAGGACTCGATAAACGATTGCATAGCTAGATGCTGTATATTATACACGACGCTACGCATCAATATTTATTTACTTTGTGCTTTGAACTGTTCAGTGCGGAGTATTCGACGCGCTGCGCGTGCGCGCTGTGACTCCGTGTTGCTTCAAGCGCATCATTCAGCGCTCGGGATGCGCATAAGCGCTGTGCGATATATTGGAGCCTTTCATATCATAATACTTTTGCGCAATGAAAGATTATTAATAGCCTTTGTTCTGTCCTATCGATCATATGTTGCTGCCTCATTAAACAGCTGTGCTATTCATTTTAAACATGCCTCAATTTTATAGTAGACTAGGCTATATAATAATTAATCCTTTTGATTTGTTACCTTGTTTTTTTTTTCATGAATGTACAATACAAAGAGCAATGTGTAAAGTTTTACCAGATTTAGTGTTACAATTGTCTCTTATTTATTCCCCACTAAATGTTTTTTTTCTCCCTAAATGTTCCGATTTTATACAATTATTGTATAAATTAGGTATTGTATACCTCATTTGATGCTAATCCAAAAACTATGCAAGGCAACTGTTACATTTTGAAGGTTTGTTTGGATTGCCGCTGTTTGTTTAAATTTTTTGTACTTCAAAGTTTAGGTAAATTTTATTAGGTGACAATATTGTGCAGGCTTCTGAAGTTATTGTTAATATTGTTAATGTATTACTGTAGTTATTGTTAAAATAAAATGATAAGGAGTTATGTTATACTTTTTTTTGCACTAATGCTGCTGCCAGCCAGCTGCAATCACCAATAAAACATTGTTTCATTTATATTTTTTCTATATCGTGATAAATATCATTATCGCAAATATTCTTGAAATATCGTGATATAATTTTTAGGCTATATCGCCCACCCCTAGTTAGAGTATACCAATAATATCACACTTTTTGTGATATTTATTTTTACAGTCAGGCCACAGCGAGCACTAAAACTTTTGATAATAATAAAAAGGCACTTGAATATTAATTAGGTGATGGAACTTTCAACCACTAAAATGTAGATGTTATAAAGTAGGCGCTATATATATATATATATATATACACACACAGAATATGTGTGTGTGTGTGTGTGTGTGTGTAATGGAAATACCCACCCAAAAATGTGAATGCAGCTGGAAATACTGGTTACATCTAAAATTATATATATATGGTGTGTGTGTGTGTGTGTGTGTGTGTTTGTTATATACAACAAAACAATATTATATAAAACAACAACTAAAAGTGTGGTTTAAATATATATATATATATACAGTATATATATATATATATATATATATATATATATATATATATATATATATAACATTATACACTCTAAAAAAATGCTGGGTTAAAATTTTGGGTAAAATATGGACAAACCCAGCCATTGGGTTAATTGGGTTAGAGTGTACCAATAATATCACACTTTTTGTGATATTTATTTTTACAGTCAGGCCACAGCGAGCACTAAAACTTTTAAAAGCGCTGTTTATGTGCTTATTTATCTACTAATCAAAATCTATTCATTATAATGTTTTCAAAAGTAATACTTGCGACGGCCTTGTTTGTAGCAAATGTGCGCCACATTTCCCAGAAACCCCTTGAGAGGATCTTATCAAAGAATGTTCGGTGTGGGGACGGCAGGGTTTCTCAGGGCCGGGGCTGGTGTCTGTGACACGCTACACCGCACGCATCGCTAATGAATTATACGGCTATATTTAGCTCAAGTCTGCTGTTCAGTGAGGGGTTAAAGTGTGTGTGTGTGTGAGACTGACAGCAGTCAGCTGTCCCACTGACCCGCCACAGCATGAGGAAAGTCGCACACACACCTTCAGCGCTAACGGTCACCTGAGTGTCTCTCTGTGGTTCTCTGCTGCTCATGTTATTTCTGTTCGCGGAGGCTGGTGTCGAGTGACCCAACCAGCATTAACCCAATCTGGAGATCATCTCTCCGTCTGTCAGTGTGTGTGTGTGTGTGTGTGTGTGCGAGCTCCAGATGTGACCGTAGTTTACCAGTGTTACCCTGCTTTGTTAATATTCACAGAAACGATATACATTGTTATAGTTGGATGTTCATCTAACATGTTACTACTTGTTTGTGAACATTCAAAAGTAACGTTTCATAAAATTTAAAGAATTATTAACAAAAGAAAACACATTTTAAAACATTCAATATTCAGAAATAATGTTTTCATAAACGTTAATGCAGTATATTCCTTTTTTTTTTTTTTTAATTATTACCATTAAAACCAGTTAGGGTCAGATTAATAATAGATAACGGAATGCACAACAATTAAAAAAATAAAACCATATATGGATAATTTGACCTCCCTTTCAATTCCAGAAATCTGCTCACCTTATTTTGAGAGGACCTTTAGCTCGGGCTCGTTAGCATTAGCGGTATGTGCGCTCAGACATGTATATGTGCACTCTGCTTTTAGAAACCTTTCAAAAATAAACTCACAGCATGGCGATATAAGATGATCCTAAACGTCTGACTCGCACAGGTTAAAAGGTTCTTGATGTTTTCCCAGAATCCTCCTGCTGGGAGTGGCTATCCTGTCGCTGTACTCCGTTCACCTGTTACTCATGACGGCCAAAGAAGGAGGTGAGTGTGTGGAGAGATTGAAAAACGCACGTCTACATATGAAACATGCTGTAGATGCGATGATATCCTCTGGCTGCAGGATCGCTGATCTACGAGACGCTCGGAGAAAGAGCGTTCGGATGGCCGGGAAAAATGGCGGCGTTTGGATCTATAACTCTGCAGAACATAGGAGGTAAAGTTGTTATTTTTAATTCTTATTCTTAATCGTTCTTTAGTGCGTATTGTTGCTGTTTGAGCATAAAACATCCCTCCAGCAGGAGTTATTCTCTATATCAGTGTCAGTGTTTCTGAAACGCCTCTATTGTAGTCTCGAGTTTCTTCTGGGAACAAACATGTCACAATGTTCCTCATTTAAATAATTAATAAGCAGAATAAAGGGGCGTGGCCTGGTTGAGTTAGGTTGTAGTGTGTTGAAACCAAGCAGAAACCTTCCTCTCTCTCATGAAACCAACACGGAAGTGACTTAAACTGTAGTTCATCGACTGGCCACTAGAGACCGGCTGCAGAAGAGAGCCAATCCCATAGACCTCAGCCCAACTTTACAGCAGAAACAAATGTGTTTACAGCCTGGTGCAAAAAGTAGTTTTGGTCTATACGGTTAATTTTGTCCTTCTTGACGAATTTTTTTATAACTCATCCGTTTAAATTATATTAAGCCTCAAAGTTGTGCATAATTAAGGGCGTGGCCACTTGAGTGACAGGTGGATTGCCGCTGATGGCCGTTTGTCTGCTGTCTGTTAGCGTCACGTCTCCTCAGCTAATCCGCCTCGCTGCTCATTTTCGTTTATCCGGAAGTGATGCGTGGCTGGCTCCGCCCACTTTGAGCTTCAAAAATGCTCTTCGGAAACACCACGGGTGATGTCACACACACTCCGAACATATTTTTTTTTTCATTTTTTTTCGACCAATCACAACACACCGATTCAGCCGACCAATCAGAGCGCAGTGTGCTTTTAGAAGGAGGGGCTTCACAGAGGCAGGAAGTAAACAGAGCGTTACTGACAGACTGGGAAGAGAGGAGCCGCAACAATGGAGAATATGAGGAGAATAATCAACATTCAAGCAGGAAAACCTGTTCTAGTAGAGAAACGACAACATCAAGACTTTTTAAAAGTAAAAAAAGCTTTTTTTTCACACGAGTGACATGACATGAATGTGTTTGGTTTGTCTTCAGCCATGTCCAGCTACCTGTTCATAGTGAAGTACGAGCTGCCGGAGGTGATCCGTGCGTTCCTCGGGCTGGAGGAGAGCTCCGGGTGAGTCTCAGCGATGCTGAATGAGTGTTTGTGTCTTTATACAGGGTTCATACAAAGGACTTGAAGTGACTTTTTGAAATTTAAGTCCTGGAAAACCCTTGAGAACAGGGTTTACGTATATGAAAGACAATATATGCGAAATTAGTGTTTAATTTGATTGATTTTTACGCAAAATGAACACTGATATAGAGCCGTTTCAAATGGCTATGAGCATGAGATTGCTCCTATATTTCCAGTATATGATACAGGTTTCATTATTAAAGTCAATCATATATTCATGAGAGAAAAATCAGTTTGAACAAGGCAGTATATGTATCATAGTATCTTTCAGTCACTTTATATGTACCATTTTATTAGTTTATTTCTATTGATCTATTTACCTTTTTTAGAAGTTGAAAGATCATAAAGATATTGTTTGATAGGTCAGATCTCGGATTGTAGTCCTTGAAAACCAAAGCAATAGTGCTTGAATATTTTACAGTATCTGTACGAACCCTGTACAGGAGAAACTCGAAAAATTACAACATGGTGCAAAAGTTCATTTATTTCAGTGATTCAACTTAAAAAGGTGAAACTAATATATTATAAAGACTCATTGCATGCAAAGTGAGATATTTCCAGCCTTTATTTGTTATAATGTTGATGATTATGGCTTACAGCGAATGAAAACATTTTCACAATATTCTAATGTTGAATTTGTGGTGTTCATAATCTGTAAGCCATAATCATCAGAATTATAACAAATGAAGGCTTAAAATATCTCACGTTGCATGTGATGAGTCTATATAATATATTGAATCAGTGAAATTTGCTCGATGTTCAGATTTTTCGAGTGTGTACGACAGCAGATTAAAGTGTATTGATGGTTGTTGTTGTGCAGTGAATGGTACCTGAACGGGAATTACGTGGTGGTGCTCGTGTCCATCGGCGTCATCCTCCCGCTGTCCATGCTGAAAAACCTCGGTAAGACTGTTTAAGTGTCAGACAGTTCGTGATGTGTGTGTGTGTGTTTCTCACTCGGTTCTCGTCTCACAGGGTATCTCGGCTACACCAGCGGCTTCTCTCTCTCCTGCATGGTGTTCTTCCTGGGCGTGGTGCGTTTACTTTCAATCTTTAATGTTCAATTCACGTTTATTCACAAAAATACGTCCATGTTGCAATTTAGAGCGATCAGAGTTACTATGTTTCAGAAATGTACTTCAATAATGTACTAATTTAACCCTTGTGCATCAATTAAAAAAAGTTACACATAGGTAAAAAGAGGACAAAAATGTCCATGTCAAAAAACTGTCATAAAAATGTGACGCTTTCGAGCACAGACTTAAGTTTGGTATCATTTTAAAGAAGACCCTTTTTATTGTTCCTAGAACACGTTTTAAAACAAGAGGTGATCGTGCGTTTTGTGTGGTGGCTCCAAGGCTCTGGAATTCTCTTCCATTAGTCTTGAGAGCTTTGGATACTGTAGAAAATTTTAGTAAACACCTGAAAACACATCTTTTTAGACAAGCTTTTAACTAGCTATATGGTGGTGTTGTAATATGTGTGTGGTTTTTATTTCTTTTATTATTTGTTTTTTACTGTAAAGCACTTTGTGACCCTTCATGTCTGTGAAAAGTGCTATATAAATAAAGTTTACTTACTTACTTTGCAGATTATTGCTGAAGTAAATAATAATAATAAGTAAAAAAAAAGTTATATAGGTATAAGTTTATGAAAATATTTTATATAAAATATATATTTTATAAATCAGGTTGAACTCAAAACTGCAATAAAATCAAAGCCATAAATCTAAATAGGTTGTGTTCCAAATTTGAGGATGATATCCCAAAAAATGAGCTTTGGGTAACAGTTTGTTTGGGTGTAGTAACATATTTTCCCCATTGGGTGGCAGCAAAACCCCACTGGAGCTCACAGTGATTGGATTTGAATTTGCAGTTTTTCTCTCTCAGTATTACAAACACACACACACACACACATACTAACCACACTCTGACATCCATACCAACACACCCACACAAATATTGTTGCATAATTTATCCAGTTGGCTCTATAGTATACCGAACCAGAAAACAGGAATAAAGCGATATTTGTTTTATAGGCCAAACTTAAAAAAATGGCACCATCTGATAAAAAAAAATAGTAAAAAATAAAATTTTGAAGCCTTGCCCTCAGAATGAAAGCCTCTTAACAAAGATTGCATAATTTTATAGTTAAGTGAACCGGGGATTAAAAATGGCAGTTTCAATGGGGACATTTTTGTCCAAAAGGTGCTGAGAGGGAGTATTTTTTGTACCTAATGCAAAAACTATATTTTTAAGAAAATGACGGTGAAATAGTAAAGTTCCAATAAAAACACACACCTGTGCCAAGTTTTTTGCAGTTAGCTTTAACACAGGCAAAGTGATCAAAAAAACAAAACTGAAAAGGACAAAAATGTCCATAAGGATGCACAAGGGTTAAGACTGTAATGAATACTTGTTAGTTGTCAGAAAGATGTTGATTGATAATATGAACTGGTGTTGTCAGACTGATGTAATGGTGTGTGTTTGTGTTTCTCAGCTGATCTATAAGAAGACGATCCTCCCTTGTCCTCTTCCGTTCTTCTACCAGCACGGCTCCAACATGAGCGTGAACGGGTCGGACGCGCTGGGGTTACACACACTTCAGAACGCCTCGGCGCTGGCGTATATCTCTGAGGCGTCGGTCAACGGACCTCATCTGGACCCTCACGCCACGACCTATGACCCCGCGCACAGCCCGGTCGAGTTCACACACCACCCCGACGACCACGAGGACATGTGCACACCCAAATACTTTGTGTTCAACTCACAGGTGTGTGTGTGTGTGTGTGTGTGTGTGTATGAGAGAAAAAGTGTGTGTGTGTGTGTGTGTGACCATCTCTAACAAAGCTCAACATTTCTTTGTAATTTCATACATTTTCAAATTCCTCTATATTATTCATTTTATTGATTTTTTTTAATTAAAAGTAAGAATGAAATTAGATTTTTTTAATTCTGTGTGAATGAGAGAGAGTGTGTGTCTGTGTAAGAGAGAGAGTGTGTGTGTGTGTGTGTGTGTATGAGAGAGAGAGTGTGTGTGTGTGTGTGTGTGTAAGAGAGAGAGTATGTGTGTGAGAGAGAGAGAGTGTGTGTGTGTGTAAGAGAGAGTGTGTGTGTGTGTGTATGAGAGAGAGAGTGTGCGCATATGTGTGTATGACAGTGTGTGTGTGTGTGTAAAGAGCTTCATGGTGTTCATTATATTTCTCTTTCAGACCGCTTACACACTTCCCATCCTCGCCTTCGCATTCGTGTGTCATCCTGAAGTTCTGCCCATCTACAGTGAACTCAAAGAGTGAGGACACACACACACACACACATTAAAAACAGCTCATATTGACTGAGACCGATGGATTGGCATGTTAGATGGCCTCTCAGATGTGGTCTGACCTGTGTGTGTGTGCGTGTGTGTCGTGTTTTCCTCCACAGTCGCTCTCGGAAGAAGATGCAGGCAGTGTCGAACCTCTCCATCTTAGCCATGCTGGTGATGTACCTGTTCTCCGCCCTGTTCGGATACCTCACGTTTTACGGTAACACGCCTTAAACACTCTTACGCCATCAAACTCTCCAGTGGAGAAGTTACTTGTTGCTGAACACACACTCTGTGTCTCAGATCACGTGGAGGCAGAGCTGCTGCACACCTTCATCAAGGTCTACAAGTTCGACACGATGCTCCTGATGGTGCGTCTGGCTGTGCTGACGGCGGTGACCCTCACCGTTCCCATCGTGCTCTTCCCTGTGAGTACCAACACACACACACACACACACACACACACACACACACACTCCTTTGATGACATATTACTGCTTTCTCATGTGTTTATGTATATCCTCCTGTTGGGTCTGCAGTGCTGTAAATGTCCACCAGAGGGCCCTGCTCTCTGAAGATCAAGTGCTCACAAATTATATATGTATATATGTTAAATCATTTATAAATTAATATAATATTAAATTAAATATAATATTAAATATAAAATGTATAATATTACAATATATATAAAAAGTATAAATTATAATATTGTATGATATTATAATATATAAAGTAATTTAAATAGCATAATGTCCGATAGCAAATATATATATATATGTGTGTGTGTTATTATTATTATTTAAATAGTATTAGGTCCAGTAACAAAAATAGGGGGAAAAATACATAAATAAATAAATAATAATGAAAAAAAAAAATATATATATATATATATTTATAAATATAATAAAAAATCTGGAATTTTTATATACCTCATAAAACATTTTTGGAAGCCTTGTCAATGGATAGTTTAGTGAATGTAATGTTTGTTAGTGAATGTTTGTGTGGGTGTATTGTATGAAATATTGTGTAATATAAATGCTTAATTCATTTCCACAATTTGAGTGCGTGTTTCTTATGCTACAATTAAATTATATCATATTAATCAGTATCATATCAGTCATCAGTTGCGCTGTTCATTCGATACCAGAACCAGCTTCAACTATAGACTACAGTTATCAACATTTTTCTGTCATGTGACCGACAGAGGGAGTCTGAGAGCTGCTTTTTCTCTCTTTATAAGCCCCTCCCTCTCTTTGTCTCTCTCTCTCACACACACACACACACACACACTGAGGGCGGGGCGAGCAAAGGGAATGGAATATTACCTGATGCAGTGCAGTGACCTTGCCAAGAAGACTGCAGTGACAGTGTATGGCCACAGATGGCGCCCAACACACACACACACACACACACACACAACGGCTCAGTTTAGGATTGAGAAATATGGGTTTTCAGGTCTAGCCAGTATTATTTCATTGTTTTGTTTAAAATATTATCTCAAAAGCTGCACAAAACTGTCACACTAGTGACACTCATTACCGCCCCGTTAAAACAGCAAACAGCTCGTATGAAACACACACACGTGCAGTTCAGTTCGGGTTGAGATCAGGGGTTGTAGAGTTTGTGAGATTTGACATTTTGTGTTTCCAAGGAGTTCTTGGCCTTGGAGTTGCTCTTAAATGTCACAGTGTGTGTGTGTGTGTGTGTGTGTGTGTGGGGGGGGGGGTTCCTGTTGCTCCGTCTGAGGGCCGCGGAGACCTTGAGTCCCTCTCGCAGACTACACTCACTAACACAAACAAAAACACACCACAGTTGTTTTGTTGTAGTCATGGTAAACCCTCTCTCTCTCTCTCTCTCTCTCTCTCTCTCTCTCTCTCTCTGTCTGTACATATTGGCATGTTGGATTGTGCAATTGTTGTATTGTGGCGTCTCTGATTGGCTGCAGCAGTTGAGAGTGCAGGACTGTGGGAAGCTGGTCAGGAGTGATGTGTATCGGTGATCTCACACACAGTGCTGTGGATCAAGGCTGTCTGCCATGAATGGGCACAGTGTGTGTCTGAGCGGTGACAGGTGTGTGTGGCCCGTGTCCTTATACAGACGCTCGGGCCGTCCAGCTCCGGTTACACCGGTCCAGTGTGTGTATCAGTCTCGTAGATGGACAGGTCCATTTATCACACTTTTAATAAATCTGCTGGGTGTATTGTTAGAAACTGTATGACTGGATAAACTGGATTGTTAAAAAATAAATGTATAATTTATTTTGTGCATTTTTTACTGTTACATTTATTGTTATGATAATTTCATTATAATCTTATACAGTATATCCTATATAAAAGAACATATATATATATATATATACATTCTTTTAAAAATATAATATAATAATATATTTGTATTTTATATATACATATTCTTTTAAAAAATGTTAATATATTATTTTTAATTATACAATAGATTTAACTTTTTAACAATTAATGTTTATATTAAATGTGTGTGTGTGTATATAATTTCTCTTAATATATTTTAGATCATTTAATATATTAATATATTTACAATATTTAAAAAAAAATTTACACACGTTTATATGTAAACTAATTATATTTTTTTAATATGATTGTATTATTTATAAATATATTAATATCATTGTTTTAATTATACATTGGATGTTTTTTGTAACATTTATATATATATACTGTGTGTGTGTGTGTATATATATATATATATATATATATATACACACACACACAAACATATATATTCACAGTTAATATATTAATATATAAAATATAGTAATATATTAAATAGGGAATATATGAATCAAAGTATATTTACAACATTACTTACAATTTAAAACACATTTATTGTTTAAATCTAATATTCTTCTAAATATTTGACCTGTTATTATATATCTGATGTTATTGGTAACATATTATTAATTCTGTATATATACATTTTTAATGTTAATAATTAAAAATATTAGCATTTTAAAATATTAATATCTATTGGTATTAATTATTTTAATATATATTTATCTTGGTGCTTTGCCGCTGTGATTACGCCGGTCTGTCTGTCTTCAATAGACAAACGCCACTGTGATTAATGGTGCAGCCCGGGGTCAAAGGTCACGTCAGGGCTTATTAGGGTCAATGAGCTTCACTCACACGATCTTGTGCTTCGACTGCTTGAGGTGACTGCGAGAACACTTCAGCTACTCTTAATATTGATGTTTGTGCCTTCATTGGGGTGTGTGTGTTGTAGTTCTCCTCCACAACACACACGTGTGGTTTGTGTTCTGCAGAATCGCTCACCTTGATCTGGTTTAGTGGTCGACGTCTGATCTCTTTAGCGTCCTCAAGAACTATTTCAGAGCCGCTTCTTTGAAGCTAGCAAGCTAAGCCGCTCTTTTACAGTAACTAAACAACACTGAGGCTCGACGTGTGTGTGTGTGTGTGTGTGTACTCAACGAGCAACAGATCAGCTCTTCAGAGCCACAACATCTTCCAGACATTTCTCAGATTATAGTATTTTTAAACAAAAAAGCAGAAGTGGCAGAAAACACAGTGAGTCAGTATGATGATTTGAGCGTATAAATATACACTGCACACCGCCATATTATATTTCTATATATACTATTATAACTAATAACCAGCGATCAAGAGCAGTGTGTAATTATATACACTAATGTCCAAAAGTTCGGTGTCAGTAAGATTTCTGTAAGTCTCATTTATTCCATCAAAAATACAGTAAAAACTGTAAAATATTACAATTTATAATAGCTGTTTTTATTATGAAAACATGTTCAAATTGAATTTATTCCTGTGTATTTTCAGCATCATTACTCCAGTCTTCAGTGTCACATGACAAACTCACTCGCACACATACACACACGCACTTACTCATACACACACTCACTCACTCACACACACACACACAATAACTCACACAAACTCACTCACTTGCACACATACATACGTACACACGCACTCACACACACATACACACACACTCACTTGCACACATGTACAATAACTCACACAAACTCATTCGTGCTCACTCATACATACACACACATACTCATACACATGCACACACTCATTCACTCACGCACACACACACACAAACACTCACTCGCACACACGCATTATAATTCACATGAATTCACTCACTCGCACACATACACACGCACTCACAAACTCTCACACACACACACACTCGCTCTTGACGGAACCCGTCGTGGAGGAAAAAAAGAAATAAAGCGTGCTAGTCTTTTCATCGCAGATCGCCGTCCACTACGACACACACACACACACACTATACGAGACGAAGCGATCGAGTCTTGTGTAACGAGGCGTGTCCTCGTCCTCGCGGTGACCGAGTCGAGCCGGGGGTCGCGGGGGGAATGTCACACGTCGGGTCCGGCGAGACTCTGGGAAATGTGGCACGCAGGTGACGGCCAGAAACCTCGGCTGTGTGTGAGAGTCGCAGAGCGGTGTGTCCGATCCCAGACGCTTCCTCAGTCCTGCTCAGAGTTTACAGAACAACCAACCGGTAACCATAACTGAGGACTCAATCAATCCATCAACGTCGTCTCCTTCTCAAATCATCTATATTTTCCCTTTCTAGCATCATATTTACAGCATTACCACCACCCACATCAGCGTTAGTTTTGCAGTTATACTTCATACATGTATTTGCTAATTGCAACCTTTATTGTTAAAAAATGTCAAAATATTGCTATATTTTTTTTTCATTTTAATATATTAATACACTATATATTTAAATATTACTATTTTATATATTGTATAAACTTTAATATATTTTTAATATTTTGTTATATAATGTATTTGATACATGATTGTGCGATGTGTGCTATGGTTTAGGAATATTTTTTTTTTTTTTTTTTGAAAGGCCTGATCAGGGACTGGGTTTGCAAATTAGCATACTGGCTAGAAACCTTTTATGCAACACATTTTGTTATGGCTTTGCCTATTACAACTATGTATGTAATAATGTGCGCTGCAATTGTCCCTGACAAATAAACTAATAAATAAAATAAATAAAACATTATTTATATATATATATATATATATATATATATATTAGTTAAACATCTTTTACTTGATTGCACAGCTGAATTTATTTTCAATTTTTTGTCTTGTATTATCCTTATATATATATATAGTTTTTTATATATTGTATTTTTTTAGTACAGTGCAAGATAGATTTAGTTGAGAAGCAAAATGACAAGTTTTTTCTATTTATTGTTAAGTTTATATTTCTGATCCCATTAGCTTATTTTCTTGTTTTAAGTATAAACTGGCTTACATTTGCGTCTCAATAATGTATCTGTATTTTGCTTTACGAATGTTTAGATATTTGCACTGGAAACAAGACAAAAACCTTTTTTTTGTTGCAGTGTAGATGCAACCGATCATGTGACGAGTTTTAAAGTGAGACGCTCGTTTCTTTGCTCGTCAGATGCGGGTGTGTCTACATTTAGTTTTGTCTACATTAATGTGTGTGTGTGTGTATAGGTGTAAAGTAAAGAGTTTCATTGGCTGTAAAGAAAGTTTTCTCTCCGTCTGACGCTTCTGCTGCTGTTGGCTGATGCAACTCTACCACACAGTTACACCAGTAATCCTGTGTCCGGCCCCGCCCACACGTGTGTGTGTGTGTGTGTGTGTGTGATGAACTTTGCCCCAGTGTGAGCCGGTTCTCATGCTCTGAGCGGATCAGTTCGGGTCCTGTGACCTGCGCTCAGATCGTTCACTCACTCACCTTCTCCTGGTCCATTCAGTGTGTGTGTGTGTGTGTGTGTGTGTGTGTGCAGTGCTCGAGGGAGTTCATAACTGTAATACTAGTTCTCAAAGGAATTCCATTAAATCGAAATAGAAAATTGTGTTCATATATGAAGTTGTTTTCTTTTCATTAGTTTGGGATCCTCTTAAGTTGTTCTGGGACTCATTGGTGTCTGTGCAGATTTAGCATTTCAAGCTAATTCAGATTTTTGACCACAGTGCATATAAATAATATGTATTTTATCCCTGTCTAGAACTCTATTTATTACAACAACAAAAAGGCCCACATCGTCTACTTATGTTTGCAATTATAGTTCATGCACACAGTTGTTACTTGCATCCATACAACAGTTATTGTTCAAAAAAATTATATAATTCTTAAAAAAATATATAGATTTATTTATTTATACTTTTATATATATATATATTTATACACACATTTTTAATATTTGTGTTTGTTATATATTCATACAATAAATGAAAAAAAATTTTAAACTTATTTTAACCAAAAATGTGATACTTTTGTTAATATTAATTATTATTAATTAATTACACCCCCCCCCAAAAAAATGTGTTTATTTTTTTTCTTACATGTAATGTTTAGTTAATTTTTATTTTTATATTACATCATTTATTTTATGTATTATTATTATTATTTTTACATCTTTTAAACTATATAAATGTTTATATATCCCTTTTGTCATTTAGGGATGTTTTGTCCCAAACACACTCGAAGCACTCAACCAATCCAGCCGACCAATCAGAGTGTGCTTTTCAGAAGTATTGTAAAATAAATAGTGTGATTTGATATATTTCTGACTGATGTGTGTGTGTGTGTGTGTGCAGATTCGTTCGTCGGTCATCACGCTGTGTTTCGCAGGGAAAGAGTTCAGCTGGATCCGACACTTCCTCATCGCTGCCGCCGTTCTGGCCTTCAACAACGTCCTGGTGATCTTCGTGCCCACCATCAGAGACATCTTCGGCTTCATCGGTCAGTGCTTCTCCAGACGTGCTGTCGATGTGGCCTTTTCCCACTGTAACACTCGTGTCACATGTCCCACTCTTCCTCCTGCAGGCTCGTCTGCGGCCACCATGCTCATCTTCATCCTCCCCGCGGCCTTTTACCTGCGGCTGGTCAAGAGCATCCCGCTCAGATCTCCTCAGAAAATATCTGTACGTACACAACAACATATTAGAGATATGATTCGGTGTCTGTGCTAAATCATGAAATTATATAATAGAAGAAGATGGCAATTGCCAAATAGCGCAATCATATATATATATATATATGCGTGTGTGTGTGTGTGTGTGTGTGTATATATATATATATATAGACCATTTTGCAAGATGTAAACAACACTGGTCCAGAAACACTTTCAGTTTGTAACTGTTTTCTTTATTTCACATGTAAAGAAAACATCTTAAAGATGTTTTTTTTTTTACTTTTTGATTCAGTTTTATATGTTCTGTTGGTTGTATTTTATCCCAGCTTTTATATAGTGTTAAAAAACTAAAACAGGAAGTGCTTCTGGACCAGTGTTGTTTACATCTTGCAAAATGGTATAAATATATATATATATATATATATTTATATATTACTTCATTTATATATTAAGATTAAGATCCACTATATATATATATATATATATATATATATATATATACACACATACATATATATGTGTGTGTGTGTGTGTTTTATATATGGTTGGCATCATATGTAATATTTTTGGCATATATATATATATATATATATATAATTTTACCTGGTGGTTAGTTTCTTCATATAATATTTTATATGATTTATAAAATATTGTGTACATTTATTAAATATATATATATATATATATATATATCTGCGCATTAATGTGTGTGTGTGTGTGTATATATATATATATATATATATATACACACACATAATATAGTATAAAAAATATAATTTCTGAAGAGGATGAAGAGAATAGAAAGAAATAGAATATATTAAATTACCAGCCACAATACATACACACATGTGTATGTATTGTGGCTGGTTTCTTTATATATCTTCATGACCAGCTTATATTATATTATATTATATTATATATTATTATATATTATGTTATATTATGTTATATTATATATTATTATATATTATATTATGTTAAATTACATTATGATATTAATATCTACAGGCAGCCATTTTCCTGGTGTTTGGCGTGTTCTTCATGATCGTCAGTTTGTCTCTGATCGCCCTGGACTGGATCCACAACCCGCCCGGCTCTAAAGGTGCTCACTAACCCCGAAGCCCTCGCCATCCCGGAGATCATCTCAGAACACACACCTCTCTCTCCATCTCTCTCCCTCTCGCCTGTCGTTATCAGTCCTCCGCTGTGTTTTCTCAGCACTCGGATCTCTGCGCTCTCAGATAGACGGTCCATCGCTCATTATGAATGTGAAAGATGGAGAGAGAGATTGCTTCATCAAATAAGCACTTCTGGACTTTTATCAAGGCACGTCAACAAAGTTTTCATAATCACGTTTGCCTTCATTAGCTGACTTTATTGGTCACTGATAGTTAGTTTGTTGAATAGTTCACTCAAACATGAAAAAACAAGTAAATGGTGACGATTTTCATTTTTGAGTGAATTATTTGTTTAATATTATCGTTTGAATCATATTTCCTCTTTGAGAGGGAGGGGGGGAGGTCCAATTATACTATTTTTGTACCAAAATGAAGGTTGTGCGAACAGTCAGTCCACAAAAGCTCAAACTGATGCATAAACCCAGACCCGCAAAGCTGAACCACTTCCTGGTGAGATTTCGGACTCCGTTCTCTTCATCTGGAGGATTTTAAAGTGTCCGTCAGTGAACTGAACGTTGGATGCTTGCATGCTTTTTTCCAAGTCGAGATGTTTGATCCACCGAATGCCACACCAAAGGGGCAATGCAGCGTTTTTTATGAGAATCTGCATCCGCTGACTCATTAATTACAGTTTACTCGTGCGCAGGCCCTGACCTGATGTTAAAGAGGACCTATTCTGCTTTATTACATGTTCACTTCATCATTCTCTAGGGTGTAATGTTGCTGTTTGAGCATGAAAAGAGAGTTATTCTCTATATCAGTGAAACGCCTCTAGTCTCGAGTTTCGTCACAATATTCCTCATTATAATAATTAATGCGCAGGATAAAGGGGCGGGGCCTGGTTGAGTTAGTTAGTAGTGTGTTAAACTGGTGGTTATGGTAACGGGCGGAACATTTCCCAAACACACTCGACCAATCACAACACACTGATCCAGCCGACCAATCAGAGCGCAGTGTGCTTTCAGAAGGAGGGGCTTCATAGAGACAGGAAGTGAACAGAGCATTACTGACAGACTGGGAAGAGAGGAGCCGCAACAATGGAGAATATGAGGAGAATAATCAACATTCAAGCAGGAAAACCTGTTCTAGTAGAGAAACGACATCATCAAGACTGTGTGAGAGCAGAACAGGTCCTCTTTAACAGAGCAAATCAGCTTCCGAGATTGTGCCTTTTCCATCTTTCCGTGCTTTATCTGCCGACACTGCCTTGCTGACGTTTACAGAAGCGAGACCGCCGCGTCTCCGTCTCATCCGCGCTGAAACGGGTTTCTGCGTGCGCCGGTTCAGCCAAAGCGGACGATATTTAAAGATCCTTTGGTGATCTACTTACTCATAAAGCAAATATTTCAAATGAAATGGTATGATATTTTTGCATGTTTTAAATCACAAACATGGTCTTTTTGGACATTGTATATGGTTTGTACATAGTGTTTGTTGTTTTTTTTGGAAGGGACGACACATCAGATGTTCACCAGTAGAGTTTTAGTATTATATTTTAGATGTTGGTGCCATCATGCCTTTTTTCTTTTGTAAATTTGTAGAAAAGCCATTGTATTTCTATATTTCCTTCTCCACGGTTTTTATGACAAACTGAAAAATGGAGTTGGGTGTTTTTGTTTTGTGTGTATGTTACGTGATTAGTTATCAGCTGAAATGGTACAGAGAGCCTCAAAGATGAACGTTTGGTCACGTTTGATTGTGTTTTTCTCTCAGCAGTATTTGTCTTCCACCGCTAACCACGTATCAAACGTGTTGGTAAGAGCGAGTTATGTGCTTTAAAGTCAACATGAAATCAATTTTAAGCACGTTTACGCTCTGTTTCCTTCAGGATAAAATTGTCTTTGAATGTACGAACTGTAACAGTTTACATGTATTTTGGTAATGTGAAATGTACTCCGTATCCCAGTATTTCTCTGGCCGATGAGATGAGGCGAAACCATCGTAATACACGCATAAACAAACGCCGAGCCAATCGGCTGCGACCTCCTGCAGCTCGGCCAATCACGAGCTGCCACCTCACTGGGGGATTTTTGTATCGCTGAAGCTGTTTCCATATTATGTAACATGAAAATAAAGAAATGTGAAACGACGTCACTCTTTGTGTTTTCACTGATGGAGAAAGTGTTACCGTGAAGATGAAAGAAAATATCATGCTAATGAGAACAGAAATAATATAATGCATCTCATAAATGTATATAGTATAATTACTTGGTTATCATTAAGGCAAGACATTTCATTAAAATAATGTTTAATTTATTATTTTAATTTCCCTAGAAATAAGATTTATTTGATTTATGAGGACATATTATTTGTATAATGACATGGGTATTACACTGGTACAAGGAAAACGTGGTTTATACGACTCCTTGCATTAAAAAAAATGTCTAAAAAGCATATTAAACCATGTTTCATTAAAAATGCAGAAGGTTTTGTGTGATGGATAGGTTTAGGGGTCGGGTTAGTGTAGAGACTATATTAACAAATATGCATAAAAACATTATGTCGGAATGTCCTCACAATGAGAGAATAGGTAGAAAAATGTGTGTGTGTGTGTTCTCGGTCAGGATGCAGGTCACTGTCTCAGCATGAATCGTGTCAACAGCTGGTTACATAAGATCACACACACACACATCTGTCCGATCATCACATGTCCGTCTGTTGTGACTGAACATCATCAGATGCTCGTTTCAGACACTTAATATCCAGAAACATTACATCTGAGATGAAGAATGACACTATTGTCTTCAGCTGACCTGAACTTGTTTCAAAATGAATCAACTTTACACATTTATTGAACTGAACTGATCTGAAAAGTGACTTATATTTAAAAAAAGACAGATATTTAGAGATGCGATGCAAAATGTTTTTTTTTTTTTTATTGACATGCATGTAATGACATCACTATGCAATCGATTAACTGAGCAAGCAGCTCGTGTCGGTGATCAACAGCTTTTTCTGCATTTTGCAAGTCACATGTGAACCTTTCAGAGCCTCTCCTCACGTTTGAGGAATTTGACTGGGTTAATCTGGCACGCATTACACAATAAACATATTCAACACATAAACCTATGAAACTCGTAAAATGCATAATATAGAGTTCTTTAAAAGAGGACCTGAGTGAAAACACTCTGCATTTTAATATTTTGAGCAATGTAAAGGAGAGGAAAGTTAAAGGATTTGTTTACTTTAAAAAAAAACTTTTGCTGATAATTTACTCACCCCCATGTCATCCAAGATGTCCATGTCTTTCTTTCTTCAGTCGAAAAGAAATGAAGGTTTTTGATGAAAACATTCCAGCATTTTCTCCATATAATGGACTTCAATGGGGTCCAAACGGTTCAAGGTCCAAAAGACAGTTTCAGTGCAGCTTTAAACGACACCAGATGATGAATAAGGGTCTTATCAAGCGAAACGATCGCTCATTTAATAAATAAATAACAAAGTTTAAGTTTTATAAGCACAAATGCTCACCTTGCTCTGTTCTGTGTGACTCTCCTGTTCGAACTCGTCTATCAGAATGAACAAATCTTTTTTCGAGTCATTTGGTTCATTCAACGAACGAAATGAACTAGTTGACTCGGGAAAAGGTTCGTTCATTTTGATGAACGAGTTTGAACAGGAGAGTCACGAACGCACATCACAGAACAGAGCAAGGCGAGTATTTGTGCTTATAAAACTTAAACTTTGTTATTTATTTATTAAATGAGCGATCGATTCACTTGATAAGACCCTTATTCATCGTCTGGTGTCGTTTAAAGCCCTTTGAACAGTTTGCACTGAAACTGTCTTTTGGACCTTGAACCGTTTGGACCCCATTGAAGTCCATTATATGGAGAAAATCCTGGAATGTTTTCATCAAAAACCTTAATTTCTTTTCAACTGAAGAAAGAAAGACGTGGACATCTTGGATGACATGGGGGTGAGTAAATTATCAGCAAAAGTTTTTTTAAAAGTGAACGACTCCTTAAAGAGAGAGAAAGTTTTAATAATGTTAAGAATGTATTTTATTATGTCTTATAATGGTGTTTTTCCTCTATTTACTGCAGCAGAAATCACACAAGACTTAAAAACAGCAGGATTGTCTGTGGATCTTAATAGCTTTGTTCGTCTTCACAGAAAAGATGCTCTATTGAAGCTAAAACTGCAGTTCTGTGCGTTTTAACATCTCAGCATCACAACAGTGTGTGTGAGCTCAGCAAGAATCAAGTTTTTTGAGACATTGCTGAGTCATAACTCTCTCTCTCTCACACACACACACACAGATGCATTTTTGTTTAATTAACACTGTCTAGATTGACAACACCCTCATTCAGGGAATTCTAGGCTCATTCCTATGGGACGTCCTGCAAAACTTGTCTTAACAAGCAGCAGTGACCAGGAGGAGCCTTTATGTCCCATGGAAACTCCTTGTTTTAAAAGCACATGTCAACACAGGAAAGGAAAGTGGCAGATTCATGTTTGGAAGTAGCACTTTTTTGAACCCAACCCTACAACAATGACCCGCAAAAGTCGTCCTTCACCTCTATTATCTTCACACAATCCCTTGATTCATGCTATAATCATCAGAGATGAGATGCCTGATTAAAACCACACCTGTTATTACAGCTTTATTAGTCAAGAGAAATGGCATTTTTTCACAAGTGGGATGAATTTGATGTGTGATAAGTGTGTTCATGCAGTGAGTGAGTTGTGCTTTAATCATACTAAAGGTGTTTGATGAGTCACTAGTGCGACTGGCACACATTAAAGGAGTAGTTCACTTTAAAAAAAAACTTTTGCTGATAATTTACTCACCCCCGTGTCATCCAAGATGTCCTTGAGTCAAAAAGAAATTAAGGACTTAGATGAAAACATTCCAGGATTTTCTCCATATAATGGACTTCAATGGGGTCCAAACGGTTCAAGGTCCAAAAGACAGTTTCAGTGCAGCTTTAAACGACACCAGACGATGAATAAGGGTCTTATCAAGGACTTTTCAAGTCATGACTCAAAAAAAGAGTTCGAACAGGAGAGTCTATGAAATAGTAATCAACAATAGGCCTAATTGAATCTCTGATGACTCAATAAGTGCAATTATCAAGTATACTGTCAGAAGTATTATTGATTTACTTATTAGTTATAGCTCTGACAATAAAAGTCATATTGAACCCTTCCGATTTCCAAAAGGTAATGAAATATGCTTTATTTTATTCTTTTCTCATTGTAATTAAAATATCAGGAGAGTTTAATGGCCTACTATTGCTGCATTTAGAGATACATAGGGGCCACTAAAGACCCGAATATGTAATAATGATATTCATGTATTTAAGTGTTAACTATGCCAGACTGAAAGCTTAATTTACATCATAAATGAGCGTCGATGTAGCGTCGAGACTGATGAGGTCATGACTCATGTGAGGATTGTGTTTCCTCCGTTTCCAGGGCGTGTCAGAGGACGTGTGTGCACAAGCTCACAGAAAATGACCCACACACACTCAATAAACACGTCAAGTGAGGATAAACATCTAGACACATAGAAAACAACATGTTTATTTTCTATATAGAAGCTTTTCATAGACTGTGATGATGTGTTAAAAGATTTTTTCATATATATATTCATTCTTAAAAATTTGAAAAAAAAAGTCAGAACTTGAATGAAATAAACTCGCTAGTAAATTTGACAATTAATTACAAATAACAAAACATAAATAATAAACATGGCTAAAATAGTGTTTTCTTGTAAAAAAAAAAAATGTAAATCTATTTACAGTTTGCATTAACCTTTGCATTAAATACATATATTTTATTTTGCTGTTGGAGAAAATGGGAGTGTAGTTTCCGTTCACCACGATGTGAAGATATGAATAGATTTCTGTGTTTGATTT